CCACCCACCCACCCACCCATCCATCCATCCATCCATCCATCCATCCATCCATCCATCCATCCATCCATCCATCCATCCATCCATCCATCCATCCATCCATCCATCCATCCATCTATCCATGTATCCATCATGTATGTATGTATCTATGTATGTATATATATATAAAATATCTAAAATAGTTGCAAAAACAGAATTATCGTTTTCAAAATTTCTAACGTCAGATCAAGATTATCACATTTTTATAAGTATTCAAGCTTTAAAAGGAGTGCCTATAAAAAAATCCACACAATATAAATAAACTCATCATTTGTGCAGCAGATAATGGACTGATGAAAATATCTTAATGGTTATTCACACAAACTCACTTCTCAGTTCTATAGAGAATTATCATAGAACTAGCAGCTAAAGTGCTAAATGACAAAAAAGTCAACACTTTTGTTTGTTTTCTCAGACCTGATAATACTGTTTGGACTTTTTAAAGTTAAATAAATTGTTAATGCTTTGCTTTTATAAGTTCCTCTTGAATTAATTAAATCTGTTACAAAAAAAAAACTGCTGAAATGCAGAAAAAAGGAAACAGAGCTATAAAAACAAAGTTAAACTAAATCAAATTGTACTCTATTAAATGCTTGAAGCACAAAAGATGTAAACTGAGCATAACAAACAGTTCCTCTTTTTTTTACTAACCAAGCACAATTTCCTAAAACACTTTTTATACAATTAGAGCAATTGCAATCTCAGTTAATTAAAAAAAAAAACTTTTCTGTAAATACACTATTTTATAAAACCTGTATTTTGTCACCACATCAAATACACATTACTCATATTTTGAATTGTTTTGCCTACCACTGCCGCCCTAAAATACTTTTTGCACATATACTTTCCACGTGACTTGCTACTGGAAATAAATAAGTAACTATTTTACTTTTCTTTAAGCACTTTTAGGTTACAAAATATTTCCCAAAGTGTAAGTGCGGTGTAGAGAGAACCATTTAGAATAAAACATGAATTTATCTTTTATTATTTATTTATCTTTTTCTCATGTGATCACACAAATATACTGTGTACTGTTACCCTCTTGAAAGCCAGGAAGTGACATCATGATATCTTTCTGTGTTTAAAGCAGGTAAATGGGTTTAGTGTTCTGATCAAAGTATGAGGTTGACACCGTGCTTACAGATGTGATACAGTAGTTCTAAAACTTTCTCATTAAGTGTAAGTTTTTTCTAATTGAGTTTTTATTTATTTTTATTTTGGCATGTAAGCAATCATAAAATGTGCAATCTGCATGAATCAACCGTGTGTATTAAAATTTCACAGCAAAAAAGATGCAAAGTGACAACAAATATGTGTAGCCTATGTACAATTCTGGTAAATCTAGATTCCCAGACAGTCTGGGAGATTCGGTGTGACCAGAATCATTCAAGGGATTTTTCCAGAACCACAACAGGAAGTTTTTGGCAACACCTGAATCAACCACATCGTTATCATTAATTGTCCTGAACATGTGGCATTTTTATCTTTCTAGTCACACATATATTGTTAAGCAGTGATTTGTTTTTGTTTTGTTTTAGGATGAAACTGCCACCTGTGATGTGGTTTTGGCCCCGCCAGACATTTAAATACCTCATCTACGCTTGCTCAGTGGATCCAAAAACATCTGAGGACATTCATTATCTCGACGAGCCAGACAGACCTGGAACCGGTAAATTCCCTCCTAAGGCTGTTCTCGCCTTCCGAAGGGTTTGCTGGAACTGGGTTTGGATGGGGCAGAATTCTTTCCTCTTGAGTTCATCGTACACATCTAATAAAGTCTGCACACTGGCATGGAACAGCTCTTCCATTTCATCTGCACGTTTATTCTGGAAAAGGTCAATGTTTCAGCCGTAACAAGACACCTGTGATGAGGTGGGTCTAAAATTAAATTGGGAACAACAGATGTTGACCCAGTTTGTGTTAAGTGATTTGTGCGTGTGCCACCTCTGTATATAAAAAAGGTTTCTGCCTACCAGCTCTGTTATTTTGTAGATGTAGACCTTTCCTTTCTCCAAGCCTGCGCTGAAGAACATGGGTGCCGCCACCAAAAGGTTGTCAGTTATTCCGTCTCCATCAATGTCCACAGGTGCAATCTCACTCCCATAATAGGAGCCAATCTGAAAGAAACAGGATGCAAATATGCACATTGAATTTAAGCTTGAAACTAGTTTTCATTTGATTGCACTGCCATCTGGAATAATGCTTTGCTGTAATATAAAGTTCCCTCTGTGCTAAAATGACTGATTTCTTTCCTGCTGCCTCTTAAACTTCGTCTGATTTGTGTTTGATGTATTGATGAGCTCCAGCTTTTGAACTGGAATATTGCAGACAAATGGTGGCGCTTATTGAGTCATAGCAAACGGTCAGTCCTGATGCTTTCCCTGATGCTCAAGCTGTGACAGCTTTACTGAGAGAGTTTGGGCCTGACGCTGAAATACACAGAACATCTGATGGTTTGAAATATATTTGAAACATCTGCCTATAAAATGAAAAGGCTTTCTGATCAAAGTGAGTTTTCAAGAGACAAGAAAAAAAACATCTGCTGTTCTGGACGACTTGTTAATGACGAGAGACATTGTTACAGTCTGCGTAGTGTTGCCAGGTATGAGAAAAGTGATCATTAACATAAAGAACTTAATTCCTTAGTAATTACCATATTTAAACTGAATCACTTTGGACTCTGGGATTTCACTCCAAGAGATGATTTGCCAATAACTTTGTCTAAACAACAAAGTTCGTTGAACCATTTGGGTCTTACATGAGCCAGCACCACCATAAAGTTTAACATGTTTTGTGTTTGCACTGCAGATGACCAACATATTCTCATTTTATTGAGCTTCAAATCCAACTTTATATTTGGAGCTTTGCCTTTCATCGAGTCTATAGACTACAAGAAATCCAAGGGGTAAGTACCATTCAATGTTTTAACCCTTCCACCTCATCCTCCCCCTATGTTTTGCATGTCCATGCCAAGGGCCTTGTGCAATGAAGGGGGAGGGTGAAAATGTAGGGCTATTTGAGATTTTCAGGGTCACACTTTAAACAAATAGTGACAAAACTATTTGTCATAAACATTTCAATATCACAAGAGTAATTTTAATGTCTACTACATTGTATTTAGTGCTTTATGTAAGATATTGTTTATAGTCTTTCTAAACATGCATAAAATTGTATTACAGACCGTCTCATATTAAATAACTTTTTGAACAGCATGCTGGAACTTTCTGTAAAAAGACAATAGATGGCATGTTGGCTTCTTGAAGCTGTATTCTGTTTTGTAGTTAAATATTTTAGCCATCTTATCTCATAGTAACTTCAAAATAAGGACCTGGGAAACGTTCAGAATTTGGAGTTAGCACTAGAAAATGAGATTCAGCTAGAACATAATGAGTCTATGAAAACAAGCTTGTCTAAATTCATACAGTTATCACTGAAAAATGATTTCAATACTTTGCAAATACCAGCAAACCGTGGTTAGCAACAATTAAATAATAAAAACAAAAACTCTCACATGCCTAAATATGACTTCTGTGCAACCTCTTGTTTGCAGTAGACTAGTTTTGATCTGGATTCTTAGCATATTGCAATATGTACAAACATTATTACAACTTGGTGGCATGGTGGCGCAGTTGGTAGAGCTGTCGCCTACAGCTACAATGGATTATTACAACTATACTATGATTGTCCTTGCCTGAGAAATCCTGGGGTTCAGATCCCGGACGAGCCCCAGATTTATGTTACAATCTGGCTTGTTGAACCACAAGGTAAAATGGAGAATTAATATACCGTTGAGAGTTGACATTTAACAACCAATAAAAGCCCACAACAAACCACTGCAGTCAGGCAGCCAGCAGCCCCATGTTCTACTCAAGCTTTGACAGGCGTGTACTAAATTCACACCTTTACAGGTGCAGCTATTACTGACAATAAAGCGAGCCTGTCGCTCAATCACTGTTCCGCCAGTGAAGAAGCAGAAGGCATAACAACATAACATAAACATAAAGAGATAACTCTTTATGATATTTATTTTCAAAATTGATTACCCATTTTTTTTAAATAATTTGATCTAAACTCTGTCCATCAAAAGAAAGTAGACCGCTGATGTTTATTCATAAAATCATAATAAAAATACATTTTGCTGATAATTACAAGTTCATGTGTTAAACTAAAGTAATTGAATATTTGTAGTCCATTATACATAGTGAGTTACTGGACTGTCGGATTGTTCACTAGATCTTGAACACAATTTCAGAAGGAAAAAATATTGGACCTAATGTGACGGAGTCCTAAATTAATGACCCCTTTTTGGTCTAACTTTTTTCTTCTTGCAGACATGAGTATCTCTGTCTAAACTTTATTTTTCTATTTTTTTGTTGGTTCAGTTGTGGCAGTGACTGTACCTGGTGACCTTTGAGTGAGTGCAGGATGGTCAGGTTGCCTGAATTATTCAAAGTGAAGATGATGACTTTGCCGGTGTGGTTGAATCGTGGAGCTCCTGCGACCAACAAACGACCATTTCTCGATGACACCACAGATGTTACAGTGTAACCTGGCAATGTGACACACAGACAAACACACATTACAGTTTTACTCACTGGCAACAAACCTTCTGAAGATGTAACATAGAGTTAAATAAAACAACTACAGGGTGCATTGGTCATGTGATGTGCGTCACTTTAGCAACAGCAGCCATAACCAGAGAAGGCTAGCATCTGGACTTAGCATTGTTGTAGATACTGGCAAAATAGCCAACAGCAAGGGTTGATTATGTAAAAATTGTAAACAATTATTAAATGATAAAAATTATATAATGATAATATTAATGAAAATGTTATTAATATAATGTTAGAATGTATATATAAGCCATCTAATGTATATAAAATGTAAAAATGCCACAAAGATGTGTGTGCTACTGTTGTACCAACCGAAGAGAAATGGGAATATGTGTCTTATTTCACAAGTAAGCATATTTTAGCTTATTTAGCTCAATGTGAATGTTATGCGACCATAATTGAAGCTAATAATGTAACCATTTAAAATGAAAATGACTCTATAAAGCCAATGTAAGCACTGGTAATTATTATGTTGGCTAGTAGATATTAGCTTCTGTGGCATGTGTTGTTATACAGTTTGTAGCACTTTGCTGAATCATGCTACAATTTAGCACAAATTATTAAAATATACAATCTGGTATTGCTTCAATTTTATGTAATATTTCCACATTGTTATTTTTGACTTTTTTTTAGGTTTGCATTACACAAACCTGACCTACTGAGAAGATGGTTAGTCAAAATAAGTAGAGACAAGTGTCATTCTTCAGTGCATCACCGGGTCTGCAGTGAACATTTTCTAAATGTTGACTATAGAACAGGTCAATAATATTAAATGTATGTTATTTCAATATTGTTACGCAATGCATTTTATGTGTATTCTTTAAATATTTTCCTTATCTATCATCTACTGGATTGTTGAATGAAATTGACAATGTTTATCAATTCTATTAATTTATTGTAAAAATATTACAAATGACACAGATCAAGTTGGGCTCGTTGTTAATCAAGTAGTTGTTTTGTCAACTGAGAGATGTTGCTCTCTTTAGACGCCATGTTGGCTCTTCCTTGATGTCACAGATGCAAGCCGTGGGCGGGACAGGGACTGCGCTCTGTAGTTCTCTTATTTAACTATGAGATGTTACCATTTGTCACCTGAGTGATTCATTCTCTGTGGTGTCTTGTTTATCAGTGAAACCTTAGTAGGGTTATCAGGGACTGTAGTCTGCTCCACTCTTTGTTTAAGCACAGTTAAACAGTCTTCAGGAGGTCATTTTCTGTGCTCAGATTAATTTTATTAACCATACCTAAGGTTCATGCTGATTGTGGCAAAAAATTCTTGTAGTTTGTTGCTCCCTCAGACTGGAGTCAACTGAAAATCTTGAAGTTGAAGAACTTAGTCTCAATGTGTTTATGGACATTCTTAATCAAACCAGCCACTAGGGAGCACAAGCCAGTGTATCTCTTGTGCCGGTCCCAAGCCCGGGTAAATGGTGAGGGTTGTGTCAGGAAGGACATCGAATGAAAAACACTTTTGCCAAAACCATAATGCGAGTTCATCAAAGCAAAACCATACCAGATTGGTCGAGGCCCGGGTTAACAACGACCGCCACCGGTGCTGTTGACAAACAGGGTGCCAGTGGAATTTGTTCTACTGTTAGTCGAGGACCACGAAGAGGGAAATGTGTCAGGAGACAGAGGTGAAGAGGAAAGTCGAGAATGTAGTACTGAGGGTTGCACCTCTAAATGTGGGGACAATGACAGGCAAAGGTAGAGAGCTGGCTGACATGATGCAGAGAAGGAAGGTAGATGCCGTATGTATCCAAGAGACCAAGTGGAAGGGCAGCAAGGTTCACAGCATTGGAGCAGGGTTTACACTGTTTTACCATGGTGTGGAAAGAAAGATAAATGGAAGCTAAAGGAACAGAGGTCACAAAGGTGCAGGACTTCAAATACTTTGGGTCCACTGACCAGGAAAATGGTGAGTGTGGTGAAGATATCAAAAAAGGAGACTAGGCAGGATGGAGTGGATGGAGAAAAGTTTCAGGAGTGACTTGCGAAAAAAGCAAAGGTTAAAGAAAAAGTTTACAAAACAGTTGTGAGACCAGCTATGTTGTATGGTCTGGAGACAGAGACACTGATAAAAACAAGACAGGAGACAGAACTGGAAGTGGCAGAACTGAAGTTGTTGAGGTTCTCCTTAGGAGTGACAAGGATGGATAAGATTAGGAATGAGATCATCAGAGGTACAGCACAGGTTGAACAACTGGGAGATAAAGTTAGAGAGGCCAGACTGAGAAGGTTTGGACATGTCCAGAGGAGGGACAGTGGGTATACTGGTAGAACAATGTTGCAAATCTAGCTGCCTGGAAAAAGAGGATGCAGTTCAATTCAATTCAATTCATTTCAGTTTATTTATATAGCGCCAAAGCCAATTAGTAAAGTTCTCTATCTAATGAAGTTAGAGAGGACATGGAGGTAGTTGGAGTGAGGACAGAGTAAGATGGAGGAGGAGGACTTGCTGTGGTGACCCCTGAAGAGGGAAAAGCCAAAAGAAGAAGACGACGATGAAGATTCTTAATCAGTCTGTAAATGACATGTTTGACTGTAAATGTTTTAAGTGATATTGAATTCTATTTTAGTCTCATTTTTAAAAATGGTTTGGATATTTGTGGTTTGATAGTTGGTAATGTGCATGTGCTGCCGCCATTCTTGGTCAGGTCACACTTGAAAAATAGATTTTTAATTTCAGTGAGCTCTACTGGCTTAAATAAAGGAGAATAAAGTTATAGTCTGACCTAGTTGATGTTTTTAAAACCAGTTTTTATGACTCAAGGAAAATTAATTAACTAAAGTTGCAATATGAGAACTGCAAACCCCGAGCCACATTTTAGTATGTCCCCGTTTTTGATTTATTTAATGTTCTCTTTTCCAAATGAACATTTTGTTATTTTTTCCACATTTGTGTCATTTTCATACCTCTTTGATCCCAGTTTGAATATTCTCTGTGCCAATTATGTATTCACCTTTATTGCTTTTGTGCTTGGATTGGCTTTTATTGGCAGCCAGCAGGACAAGCTCAAATACAATCCACTGATGGTAAAAGCAGAGGTCTGTGGTGTTGAAATGAGATGGCGGTGTTTATGTTGGAGACCATGCAGGCAATGGGTACACTCTTTAAAGGAGCGCTGCAGCAAGGACAAGTGGTGTTTAATACTAAAACCTGTTTGTGACTCTTCTAAAAATATAAAATGTGAACAAAAGCCTAGGACTGATGTCTGAGGGAGCTAAAGTCTTAAGCTTAAACAAATATATGTCCTGCATTTCACCACTCTTTTTAATTTTTTCTTGTCGACTTTTACTGTTCGAATAAAGCATGATGCTACTCACCTAAGTAGGCACCATGATTTTTGAGCTCTTCAGGAAACTCCTGCATGTAGGATGACTTAGGAGGAATCACCTTCCCTTGCCGCGTCTCTTTCAGCACCGCTCCGTTCCAGTCATAAGCACCTACAGCACCCACCAAAATGCCATCCTGTAGGAGATTGCACATTTATTGTATATAAATATACTGTTTGTGCAACAATCACACATGTATTCATTACTGTACATTATAAAATTTAAGTAACTTGTTACTCATTAGGGAGCACAGTAAGAGGCTCAAGTTCAAGTTGTGTTTATTTGTCTTATCTGAGGTTAACACAAGGTTAACAGTACAATGAAATGATTAGGATGCGAATAACTGATTTCACTCACTATAAAAATCAAAGAACAAACAAACAAGACATACTAAAGCATCAAAAAGAGTACAAAAATAAAGTACCAAAAAGTGAAAAATAAATTATAATATTTAAAACGTCCTAAAGAGAGAGATAGTAAACAACAACATGGTAGAATATTCAACCTTTATTTATACAGGTTAATCCAATTGAGCCCCGAGCACTCATTTACAAGAGAGACCTGAATTTTTTAACAAAGACATGATATGACAGGTTATTGCACAGGTAGTGACACTGAGATTGAATTATGAAGGTAAGGTAGATACATATATACTATATCATACATGGTACATCCTAGTATCAGCCTAGATACAGCCTTCATAGTGTAGCAGCAATAAATAATAAACATATTAGTTGTCACAAGCTATTAGTCATATTAGGTGTCACAGATGTGGCTTGGTGCAATGCTGTTGCCAGTTGTTTAGTGTTATTTATCGAAAGTTTAGTAGTCTGACAGCCTGTGGATAATAACTGTCCTTAAGTCTTTTTGTATGTGCCTGAAGGTAGTAGACAGAAGAGTCCTTGTGCTGGGTGGGTGTGATCCTTAATGATGCTGCGTGCTTTACGCATACATTGGCTGTGGTAGATGTCCTGGATGGTGTGGAGACTAAACCAGTGATGTCCTCTGTTGTTTGCACCACCCTCTGTAGAGCTTTCCGGCTCTGACTGATGCAGTTCATGTACCACCCTGTGATGCAGCCTGCCAGCAGACTCTCAATGGTGCAGCTATAAAAGTTAGTGAGGATGCTGGTGTTCGTACCAAACTTCTTTAGTCTTCTTAGGAAGTAGACTCTTTGTCTGGCTTTCTTGACCACAGTGTCTGTATGTAATGTCCAGGACAGATCCTCGGTGATGTGAATGCGGAAGAACTTGAAGCTGCTGACATGCTCCACCTTAGCGTTGTTTATGTAGATGGTGGAGTGCTGACCTCCACTCTGTTTCCTGAAGTCCACTATCATCTCCTTTGTTTTGCTGACATTTAGAGAGAGGTTATTTTCATGACACCAGCTGGTCAGTGATTTCACCTCACCTCTGTAGGCACTCTTGTTGTTGTTGGTGATGAGACCCAAGATGGTGGTGTCATCAACATTATTGAGGATGACGTTAGAGCTGTGCTTGGCAGTACAGTCATGTGTAAATAGTGAGTATAGGAGTGGACTGAGGACACAGCCCTAAGGCGTACCGGTGCTGAGGACTAATGTGGAGGAGAGGTGATTTCCGATTCTCACTACCTGTGGTGAGGAAGTCCAGTGTCCAGCAACAGATGGACTTCTCCAGGCCCAATGTGGTGAGCTTGGAGACCCGCTTGGAAGGGATTATGGTGTTGAATGCTGAGCTGTAGTCAATAAAGAGCATTCTCACATAGATGTTTTCCTTCTCCAGATGGCTGAGGAAGGTGTGAACTGCTAAAGCAATAGCATCATCTCAGTTTAGATTCTGCCAGATTTTTGATTACTTCATTCAATTTGTAGTGAAATGTGATAAACACAAACTCACTAGTGCTTACACTATTTACACAAGTGGTTAAACACGAACTCAGCGATAGTTTAGCTGTAGTGTAGTGAACTAGACCTCCTACATCAATCTGTCTCTGAAGACCTTCAGGGGACAGGAACTGTCATTTCATTGATTTGAATCCAGAACACAAATTATCTCATCAAGAGACTATTTTTAATCAATTGAAAGAACACTCTTCATTTTATTATATTATCATTACAATATCTTGATAATCAAAAGTGTGTTTAGTTCATACCATTTCTAATGTTGAAGTAAATCACTCATTTAAATCAACTGTGAAACAGTATTAATGATTTTTAAACCTCATTAGACTTAGATCATACAAGTTCAATGTCTATTTACAAAGTAATTGTGCATTTTACTCCTCTGTCTGAATGAGGAGTGGGTATAGCCACAATTGTTACAGAAGAGGTATTTCTATTAAAGTTGAAACTGTTTGAGATTATTTTCTATGCTGTTGTATCAATATAACAGCTTTCACAGATTTCCACTTTTAGAAAAAAATACTATACTTTATTGTAAGACAACTCTTTGTTTTCTGCATTTGAGATGTTTCTGGGTTTTTTTGTTTTTTTTTTTTTTATCACACCTGGATTTGTTTTTCAGCATTCTTTAATCTTTTGTTGAGGTGAGTGTATACGGTAAGTTAGCCTTAAATTAAGCGATGAATGCATACTTTTATAAGCTGTGGTTAAATTATTGGATCTCTAATCTCAGGAATGTCTCAACTGACTGATTAACCAACAGCCACAACAAATACAGAGCCCTACTGCGATGCTAACCACATACGTTCTGTTACTACAAAAGTAGGAAACAAAGCAAATTCAGTGAGACGGATCCCCGTCTTATAAAATATAAAAACAAAAAAGATCAACTCAACTGCAAAGTCTGACTTGCTGAGTCTTTAATGTCTGTTCTTTGATTTGAGTTTCAAAAAAGGAAATAAAACAGCTACTGTAACACAGGGAAGCAAGAGGAAGGGTTTCTATATTCTGCAGTTCAACATACTTTGTGTTTCTGACTGAGGTTGTAGGGTTTCTCTGCATAATAATTTTCTGTTTTCTTGTAGTTCACAATATTGTCTACAACACATTTTCCAGCTTATTAGCATGGTCTGGAAAACCAATGGTTGTCTTCCTGAAAGACAGATTTGCCGGCTCACCACATTTGCACAACGTCACTCTTTAGCAGCTGCATTACGCCACTGTGGTTTATCGGTTTAGGCCAAAATGATCTCTATGGCAAACCGTTCAGCCTCATAAACCAGTGACCTATTTCTGCTGCAGTTACATGCACGGACATATGCCTCACTTTGGCTTGAATGTCTACTCTTTGTTGTACTGACATTTCCAGTTCTGTGCTTCTAAAAATATATACATATTTAGAAAGCATATACATTAAAAGTTCTATGTTTAACAAAGAAAGGAAGGATGTAATAAAAGATACTAAACAGATTTATTGTTTTTAATTAAAGCAGAGCCTTGATTTTTCTTTCCATTATCTTATAGCTACATAAAATTGCAGATGGAAAATTGTGCAATGTATTTAAATGTACTGACATCTGTGCAGTATATGACATTAGATTCATTCAAAGTTGACACTAATTACATTCAGTAAAACCATCTGGGCCCTCAGGACTGTTTTTCTCTATTAAAACATGAACATTCTTTCCAAAACGTTATCCTACGCTCAACACTCAAGATGGTCTTGTGAAGTATCTCTGGAATCTGGCCCAATAGACAAAATTTCCAGCCATTCTAGTCACCCAGCTGCAAACTGTGCTATATGTTCATTTTCTCGTAGATTTAATCTAGTTTCCCTTTGCGAACTCAAGAGTGAAAGGAATTTGAAATATTAAAGCCACTACATCAACAAATGTACCGTAAAATATCGGGAGGAGCGGAATGACTACAGTTAGGAATAGCAGGTACAGTAGAGGTGATGTGTCTTATTTTATTTTTCCAGATGTGCAGCACCGAAGCCAGCACACCTGCCACTTAGAGGCAAACAAAAACTCATGGGAAGTTAAAGAAAAAGAAGTCATTCTGAGTAAGACTGTCCTAGTCCTGTCCAGGCTCTCACTAATATGTTTCACTGGGGGGGAAGTGGTGCTTTATTTCCCACTGTTGTATGGTTGAAAAGGAAAAAAAAAAACCTGTCTGCATGCCAGTTGCTCCTAAATCAGGATGACCTAAACCTCTGGGGCAACGCAACAGGCCTCTCAGAGGGAATAAGACTGATAAACGTCCCATTGTGGGAAGGAGTTTTGAAGCGGCAGAAACTGAGACAATGTGTGTTGTTTTACACTCTGACAGATGGTGTGAGACAGCGGGATAGCAAAAGTCAGACTCACCTCCACGTTATGTGCGGAAAAACCTGCCTGTGACATCTGGAGGCCAAACGCTGTCCCATTCTTACTGGTTCCTGTGTAAACAAGCCAGACTTTAAAGTTTGAAGCATTCCAGATGCAGACTTTCAAGCCACAGTCAATTTTTAGGAGGAAAACCATTATAGTCTTAAAATAAGTGTTTCAAACGCATGCATATTTTCAGGTACTAAATGGAGGAACGAGGCAGTGACTTTTCTAGACTAGTTGAAGAAGCAAAAACACAAAGTTTTCACTTGCAATCACACTCAGTGACACAAACACTGAAATTTGAACCAAAATATGGTAAACAGACTGTAGTTATATATCACCTTTATATCTTATCAAGATACTTAAAGCACTTTACAACACAATCAGTGCCCTCATTTACCCATTCATCCAGCACTCTACTAGATCTATACAAAGATTTATCGTTGCTTTATTACATTCATACACCGATGGGACATGCATCGGAGGCAATGAGGAGTTCAGTGTCTTGCCCAGGGACACTTAAGCATGTGACTTATTTTATTATTAACATTTATTGAAACAGGCAAATCCCATTGAGATCACAGGTCTCTTTTGCAGGGGAGGCCTGGACCTGAAGGCAGCTAACATGCATGTTTTTGGTCTGTGGGAGGAAACCGGAGTACCCGAAGAAAACCCACGCAAGCACGAGAAGAACATGCAAACTCCACACAGAAAGACCCTAGGTCTAACCGGGGATTGAACCCAGGACCTACTTGCTGTGAGGCAACAGTGCTAACCAATGAGCCATCGTGCTGCCACGTAGACTGCTGGTGGAATCGAACCTCCAGCTCTTGCATTGAAGGACGACTACTCTAACCACTCAGCCACAGCTGCCCCTTATACAGGGAGTTTGTATGGATTTTATGAAATAATATAGTTCTATTACATTTGAATTACAGAAACTAAAAAGAATTCAAGGCATGCTCCAGATGGTAGCAACAACTCTGTGACTATTTTGAGAGCAAATATTTTTCACCAATTTTTTCAATTTTTTCAAACAGGATAAAAACCACAGCAACACATGCAAGGACATTGAAAAGGATGGCAAATATTTCAAGAAATTCTGGAAATTCCCTCGCAAATATTGTTTGTAATTTGTCACCAACAGTCAGAGCTCATTGTTACTACCTTAATACTAACCCTAACCCTAACCTTTATAATGGATAGATAAATCAACACATCTTGCTTTGAAGCTTTTACAACTTATGTTTATTACAGGCAGGTTTTCATGCAGATAAAGCACTAAATGTACAGAATTAAAAGAGCTGAGTTAAAATTAGGTTTTTTTGCACAACCTTCCAGGCTGAAGATGCGTTCTCCAAGAGCATCCACGATATCTTTCAGTGCAGCCTCATCAGTCACATTAAAGAAGTGTTTATCATCTGGGTCACTGGCAATGTACTTGATTTCATTGAGGAAGGTCTCTGGGTTGATTCCTCGGCGGTTGTAGTAACCGAGCACCTGTGAAGGTGAGATTTTGACATTCTGTCACTACATATTTAAAGAGCATGAAGAACATCCACCAGTACAAGTAATCACACAGAACCGTGACAAACTAATGGCATCCCTCTGAGAAGGGTTCAGGAGCTTGGTGTCCTATAAAAATGTCTGTGTTGTCACCATTTCCAACTGCTTTTTGGCCAGATGATGTCAGAGTTTTTGTTCAGACAACTGCCATAAGCTTAGTGACACCCATTAACTCCACTAGCAGTGCCAATAACCAATGAGCTCTGTGGTCAGAAGGGCATCATTTACACCTTTAACTACACCAACAGAACACAGCTTGGAGCTCTGAGAGGCTTTAAAATAGTATCTGGAGAGACTTCTGGAAAGACCTGTTTTAGCTAAGCACAATGAGGTCACCTCAGTAATATTTATGGTGTTTCAAAGCTGTGTAGAAAACTTATTAGCCACAAGAAAACCAGTAAACCAAGAAAAAGCCTAGCATAATATACCACAAATCCAGTTAAGAACTGGTCTGGTAGACTCACAGCTATGGCGTAACGGGTGATGTCATCCTTCTCACAGTCCTCGATAACTTGCTGGAGATCAGGGCTGTCATGGGACTCACCATCAGTTATCACTATCATCACCTTCTTGGCACCTCGTCGACCTCCCTGTTTGAAAGCTTGTGAGCTGTGAGAACACGTTTGATATCTTCAGTCAAATAAACTGCAGAAGAAGAGACTAGTGAGGAAATGGAGACATCTTACCGTGCTGTGCTGATGCCAAGAGCCGTGTTGGTCTCCTCTCCACCACGCTGGTCAATGCTGCGGGCTCTTTCTACCACCTCCTCCACTGATTTATATTCACTGAGTTGGAATTCATGGACCACCTTCTCACCATATTGAACAACTCCAACCTGTTCAAGAAAACATTAAAACTTAATAAAACATGTCAGAGCTTTGCCTTTCTATGTTGATTTATAATTCCATTTAAACTGAAAACATACTTAAATTAAAGGAACTTGTAATGATCAAATGATCATCAAACATGATTTTAGGTTGCCACGGCAATGTTAACTATGTGGTTACATGTCTGACAAGAACTGAAAATTTATTAATGTTTTAACTCAAACTTCTGTTGTCAGAAAAATTACAAATTTCTAATAAGAGCTTTGGAAAAGTGAGAACCACAAGAACACCCTGCACAGACTGAAAAAAATTTTGTGATTCTGAGGTAGACTAGGTGAACTTTTGGGGTCCTCTACCACAAACTATTACTTAATTGAGGTAAAAACACATTGTGGGAAAGAAAGAAAATTTATATTTAATTTTTTTCAAAAATTATGTTTGTTGGAGTAAAACTGGGAACATCTATCTATCTATCTATCCATCCATCCATCCATCCATCCATCCATCCATCCATCCATCCATCCATCCATCCATCCATCCATCCATCCATCCATCCGTCC